CTAGTAACATAAATTAGGTTATAGTCACAGGCCCATGACTTTTCCCTGATTTACCCCCCCCCCCCCCCCCCCCCCCCCCGGCAGATCCTGATAGGCCTACCCAGTATCTGAGCCTCTCCAGTAGCAGGTGATGGTCAACAGTGTCAAAGGCTGCAGTCAGGTCCAGCAGGACCAGTACAGAACAGTCCCCTGCATCACTGTGAGTCAGAAGGTCATTAGAGACCCTAAGAAGAGCTGTTTCAGTAGAATGAGCTCTACAAAAACCTGACTGGAATTTATCATAGATGTTATGTTCATCAAGAGCAGCTGTGAGTTGTTTAGCCACAACCTTTTCCAAGATCTTGGAGATGAACGGAAGTTTGGAGATGGGTCTGAAGCTGCTATGGAGAGAAGGGTCGAGGCTCGGTTTTTGAAGAAGCGGGTGGATTACAGCGTTCTTAAAGTAAGCAGGGACCTGACCAGAGACCAGAGAAGCATTAATTATAGAGAGCACGCTGGGACCGATGGACTGAAAAGCACTTTTAAACAAAGATAAGGGTAAGATGTGATGACTGTTGCTTGACTTGCTCCGCCCCAGCCTCTGCCATCTGGTCAAGGTGTCTTCTCATATCGATCAAACCTGTTGAATGACAAATACATAAAACATATTTAATATATCTGACAATTAAGTTTTGATAGAAGATGCAACAAGAATTGTTTTTAGTAATACATACCTTACAAATACTATAATTTGTGTCGACAGACTCGTATAATTGAACTTTAAGTACGTTGACAGGATTGAAATGAATAAGAAACAGATTAAGGTATGATATTAAATTATAAAATATTACCTGCTTCAATGATATCGTGCCTCTCAGTCCAGGTGGTCTTGAACTTTGGAAGAAGGATTGCAGCAGCAGTCAGCTCAGGGTCTTCCATCATCTCACCAAAGTTCTTTTGGACACCATCCTGAATGGCTCTGAAGAGTGGCAGACACATCTTGGAGACAGTCTCCAGTCTGCTGAGTTTTTCTTTTAGCTGGAAGATCACTTGAGGGGCGGGACTAGGAAGCTCAAAAATGACCAATCAGAAAAAGAAGGAAATCCCGACTGCACCACACGACGCGGTAGATTTCTAGTTGTAGTAAAAAAAAAATAGCATCTGGCAATGGCGCAAACAACTTTTATTTTTTAGAAGAAATGCTTTTAGCGCTTCTACTTGTGGTTTTAAAGACATCTGTGTCATTTAGAACAGAGGAAAGAGCCGCAGCGAACTCCGCCGCTGTCTTCGTTGTTTATGAGAAATTGAGCATCGCTTTGTATGACGTGAATTAAACAGGAGGAGTCTGGCAGGCCAGGCTGTCTTTCTCATACCATTAGCGCCTATTTTCTTTTCCTACCCACCATTCATTGCACTGTAAGGTCACTGAACACATGCTTCACACTAAGAAGTTCAGCTCACCTGTTGACCGCTCAGACATCCCTTCATTCCTTCTCACAAGCTTTGATCTTAGGTGATCCTCCAGTCATCCGAGTAGTCAGTTAGTGTTTCTTATCCTTTCCTTCGTACCCCGTAACACTCTCGTAACTTAAGCACTCAGTTCTTCTGGTGCGCGCCTTCAGCGTCCGCAGCACTTCCGTGTTTGGGTCTTACCAGTATAGACATATATATACATAAACACTTCGTTAAGTGCTGGATCACTCTCGAGTGCGTTAAGACGCTTCTACATATGTATATGTTTATACTCTCGTCTCTCTTCTCTGTGGTGTCTGAATCATTGTCTGAATCCAGTGTGAACCGTGCCGACACAGTATTTTGCAATGTTGTTTTTTTTTTTACTCGGTAACGGATAAGATAAAAAATGTAGCGAAGTACAATACTTACAAAAAACAATACTTAAGTAAAAGTAAAATTACAGATTTTAAAAACTACTTAAAAAGTATAAATGCGCATAAAAATCTACTCAATTACAGTAACGCAAGTAAATGTAATTCGTTACTTTCCACCTCTGTTTTAAAGTCCCATTAGTCATCATCACACTGATGAAATCACATCTCCACATTTGACCAGAGAGCTGCAGACATGTCCACGCTCTGGAACTATTTGTTGCTTTCACATACCAATCCAGCCCCTCAATGCTGAGTGTCAAGTGGGGCATTGGGTCCCAATTCGGAGAGACTTTGGCATGACCCGCCCGTGGATTTGAACCCACGACCCTTGCAGGTCTACATATCCATAATGAGTGAACTCATGGCGAACTAGAAGCATTTTACTCTGACATCATCGCAAGCCTCGCATTCCAGTGGCCAGAGTGAGACGTTAAAGTGATTTCTAGTTCTAGTTTTGGAATTCTGGGAGTCCTACGCCGTTCCTCATAATGTGTACTTGTCTGTACTTGTGTACTCACTTCCTTGTAAAATATCATCATTGTTGGACAAGGACTTTCCAATCCTAAGAATGCGAGTTCCCGGATGTGTTCTTGCTCCGCCCTTTTTATCAAGGATGCATTTGATGCATCCTTCTGTGGACTTGGGCAGCAAGGTATCCCACAATGCATTGCGTCGCAAACCGTTATGCTATGAACGGCTGAGGAGAAAGCTCATAACTGTAGAGATTTATATGAGAAATGCAAATAAGGATGTATAAAATTGCCTATTATTGTAATTAATTGTGAGTAACCTGTAAAATTAGCTGTGTGTATTTATTTTTTACTTCAGACTTCACAATCCCTCGAAATGCCATTTAGCCAACACACTATCAAAATAAAAGCAGCGTTGCCTTGGTAGCGTAGGTTGCCTTGTTTTTAATTTATTGAAATTGTGAAACCTTGGTAAAGTTATTTTCTTTTTTGTAAGTAGATGTATACTTGTGAGCTTTTTTTTTTTTGTTTTGTGCAGCCACAATTAGTCAGCCAGATAAAGACTGAGGCAAAAGAGGCAAAGCAGTGACAAGATTTTTCAATCCTCCCTCAGCTTCTTCCATTTCTTGTTGCCAACCTCAAGTCATTAATTAGCTGTAGATGATAAAATTCCCAGTTTCCAATCTGACACAAGTGCAGAGCAGCGGACGGTGGTGGTAATCATGTCAGCAAGGCTTGGCTGAATGTTCTGAAGGGGCTAAATGGCCCCCATATGGTCCACTGGCTGGGGCCCACTCCTCAGCATGCTTTCATTAAACTAGTGCTTAATATACCAAGGTAAGGAGAGGCACACAAACACACACACACACACACAACACACACACACACACAACACACACACACACACACACACACACACACACACACACACACACACACACACACACACACACACACACACACACACACCACCTCCTTGTGCTTCTGGCCCTTTGTGTCCAAATCCCAGCAAAATGCTTTGATTTCTATCTCACAACTGAGTGTATACATGTGTGTGTGTGTGTGTGTGTGCGTGTGTGTGTGTGTGTGTGTGTGTGTGTGTGTGTGTGTGTGTGTGTGTGTGTGTGTTTAAAGGCTGATGCTGTACAATTGTTGACTAGCCATCTGCCATCAAGCTACGAATCCTGCGTGTGTGTGTGTGTGTTTGTGTGTGTGTGTGTGTGTGTGTGTGTGTGTGTGTGTGTGTGTGTGTGTCTTCTTAAAAGGAAAGATGAGACGGAAACTAAAGAAAGAGAAACAGTGAGTGAGGTGCAGATGTCACAGCGCAGCGGCTGGAGCCGGAGGTCCAACAGCAGACTGCTGCTTGAGAGGAGGTGAGGGGAGAGAATAAAGAAAAGAGAATGAACATCTGCCATATTCAGACATCGCTCCGTGGTTTGAGTGTTTCCGCATGCTATAAGGATATCTTGAGTTGGATTCAACGTGGGGGAAAAGCCTTTTGATTATCCTGTAGGATTAAAAGCCAGAGCTTCATTTACATGTTTGGACGTATTTAAAGAAAACTGCAGAAGAAGACTTAATTTTAGCTGCTGGGTTTCCGACAAAGATGAATGATTCAACACGAACATCATGTCTGCTGGTGTGTCAGCTTTAGCTGTGAGAACCTGCCTGGATTTAGTACTTTTGGGGTCAGAAGTTCAAATCCACTGGCTTTAAGGTCTAAACTATGGTGGATCTGCATTTTGATTTAAAAAAATGGCTTGTACATTGAAAATTGTTACTGAACCTGTAGTTTTTATTTGTATTTACCTCTATCAACTTCATTCAGCTTCCAATGCATGACTATAATTTCCTTAAATGTCAGAGAACATCCTTGAGTCCCATTTCTATGTGATGCATAGAATAGTTCACTAATAAAATCATGACTTTTGTTAAACCTCGTAAGGTTCCTTTCAGATCTCAGAGGTACAAACAGTTTAGTATAGAAAATAATAATAAAACCTTCAAAGTCGGGGTTAACCCTTTCGAATTTGCTCGACTCGGGGTGAGCAGATGGACGCACACTGGAGCAGGTGGAGAGGCAGACAGGTAGACAAGCAGGACAGAGAGCAGCAGTTAGTGAGGTAGAGAGCACTCAGTGTAACTCATGAATGAAATGTTGAATGACGAGTGGCCGGGCTGGTGTGTGTGCATCAGGGACTTAAAACGGGGGGGGGGGTTGGCACTTGACAATAGTTGGGGTATAGTATTTGATTGTTTACTTGTGCCCCACTGGATGGGTTCATTGTGCCCCCCAAGTGTGTGTGTGTGTGTGTGTGTGTGTGTGTGTGTGTGTGTGTGTGTGTGTGTGTGTGTGTGTGTGTGTGTGGAAGTTTCCAGGAGGATGGAGCGCTGTGCTTTGCTTTTATGTTGGTCTTGGGAAGTAAGGAGGCTTTTCAAAAGACTCTGTGTGTGTGTGTGTGTGTGTGTGTGTGGGGGGGGGGGTGTTCTTGTGTTGTCCACACAAACACACATGACCAGCTGCCGCCTGCAGCCCCGGCCCAGCCCTGTGATTCTGAATTAATAATACAGAGCCACTCTGAAATAATGGTGACTCAAACACACACACATCTAAACAAAGCTTTGCACCTGTTCACCACTGCTCAACTGGACAGGGTTGGGCTCCACACACAAACACGCACACACACACACACACACACACACACACACTTGCATGCATATGCACACCCACCATGTTGCCTGTCTGTAGAAGCCAATAGTTAGACAGCTGTGTCTGTTTCCTGACCTTCCCTTTCTTCTTCTGATGACAGCTCTTCTCTTTGACTGATTTGTCCAGCTGCGCCACTCTGTTCCTCTGATTGGATGGTTTCACATCCAATGAGGCAGAGAAACTGACAGAGATTTAGCATATTTATGTCACAATTAAACCGGGATCCCCAAACACATGCACCCTTATGTACATCCAATATTGTAATAATTAGGATAGCATGAGGAAAAACCTGTATGAAGCTCGATATTTTACTATCACTATGAATCTCTCATGCATCTGAAAATGTAGGTGATTTTTTTGAAAGAAAACAGCCAAAGCGGTTTTACTTCATCAGATCTCTGTGTTTTATGACATTCTGAGGTTTCATTCTAAGGCTGTTCAGTAAAATAGGCATCAATGATGTAAAACGAATAAAGAAATCAACATGCATTGCCTTCCAAAAGAGAGAAACAAGGCAAGCAAAATACCAGCAATCAGTGCAATTTGATTAGCCACCTCATCGGATGTGTTTGCCTTCCCTAATCGCATTGGATTCACTGCTTTTTAAACACAAGCAGCATGACATCCCCAATGTTATCGCGTGTTAAAATGTGAGGCAATTTTTATTCAGTTTCCATCTGACTGTATTTTTACTTTTCTAATGTGCTAAAAACATCCCAAATGATCCATTTTTGCATTTTCAATAGCATGTTCTGCCTCAGTAGCTGTGTGTGGGTGGTTTGATGGATGTTTGTATGTCAGGGACTACTTGAGCTGTATTTAATAATCTTGATAGGATTAACTATAGATGTAAACATGAGTTTCACTGTCTGATAAGCTTCCAGCTCTATTATGGTGAGTGCACAGTCAACTCTGCTGCACACATATGATTTTAATTTATTTTATTCATAAAATAATACAAATAATAAAATTATGAGCTCTGTTTATATGTAAAGAGGAAATTTTGGGGTTAATAATAGATAGATAGATAGATAGATAGATAGATAGATAGATAGATAGATAGATAGATAGATAGATAGATAGATAGATAGATAGATAGATAGATAGATAGATAGATAGATAGATAGATATTTTTATTCGGTCAACAACAACAATTTATCAATTTTACATAAAAGTAATCAAGCAACCGAAAAAAGGTTTTCAATTCAGTTTGATGTAATTAGTATATATATATATATATATATATATATATATATATATATATATATATATATATATATATATGCGGGTGGTAAAAGTGATGGAGGAGTTAGTCGTGAAGTAAGATGATATGGTTGCCGTTGCTGTGGTGAAGTGACCTTCACCCACCCACTGTTTAGTTGGGTAGCCAAAGTCTCCAGTCTGGCACAGGTGGTGTTGAGCAGCAGCTCTCCAGCTAAGATGCTAACGCTGCAGTAATCCTTTGGGGCTATACGAAGCAACTGGACCTCGTCTCATCGTATATGTAGAGCATTATAACACACACACACACACACACACACACACACACACACACACACACACACACACACACACACACACACACACACACACACACACACACACACACACACACAGGTTGATGCAGAAATGCAGACACCTTTATATATCATATGCAGGCAGGGAAGCTATAGGAGCTGTATTTTGCATATATTGCACACGTCCGCACACGCACACACACACACACGCACACACACACACACACACGCACACACACACACACACACACACACACACACACACACACACACACACACACACACACACACACACACACACACACACACACACACTAGTGCAGAGGGGGATTACGATGAGCAGCATCTCGGCTGCAGCGTCTGTCAGTCACTCTCCAGCTCTGTCAGCGACACAGCAGAGGCAAGCATGCTCCAGGGAGCCACCACCATCTACTGGATTGCAGAAGTACTGCAGCAGGGGTGAAGTTAAGGAAACAGTAAAGAAGAAACATATGGAAGAACTCTGAATTCATGAGAAACAGGAGAGAGGAAAGGCAGGATGTTTTGATTATATTCCCTTTAATATGTGCTGTGAATTCACATTTTTTCACCAGCATGTGTATCCTCATGAGATACGTACATCCTTCTGCACCAGCTGGGAGAACAGGGGCACTAGGACAGTGTGTGTGTGTGTGTGTGTGTGTGTGTGTGCACCCAGCCTACCAGGAGGCTCAGCTTTGTGCAGCTGGCTGGCTAAAACCTCCTGGTTCCCCTAAGGAATTGCCAAATTCCCCTGGGTTTTCACTCAATCTGGCTTTCCTGCCCCATCCCAGCTCCATGGCATTGTCATGGCCCCAACCTCTTACACTAAGGACCTTCGCTCACTAATCTGCCTCATTTGTCTTCTACATCTCCTCTCTGCTGTAGTGTCTGTACTGCAGCCTTAAACCCAGATGCAAACTGTAAACAGATATTTTTACTTACTCTCCTTAGTTCTGGACTTTACATTAAAGTGGTAGGTTTTACAAAAACACCCAATATTTCTAATTCCTTAACAGTATTTAAAACACTAATGTGCATGGATGCACACACACACGCATTCACACACACACACACACACACACACACACACACACACACACACACACACACACACACACACACACACACACACACACACACACACACACACACACACACACACACACACATGCGCATAAGCTCCACTTCAGTCCCAAAGTGATAATGAAACTAATGCACTTTAAGTGGATTGGCTTATAAGATCCCGGATTCGTCTTAAGATGTCTGAGCAGACTGGTGTTAGAACTTCTGGGGCTGGGGTCACGCACGTAGCCTTGTAAACACACACACACACACACACACACACACACACACACACACACACACACACACACACACACACACATGCAAAGAACAGCCACTTGGAAAAGCATCAAGTAATCTCACAACTATTTTGAACTAGCTGATGATGGTAATATCTTTAACCACAAACATGAAAATTTAAGAACACACTCGGATCAGAACAGATAAATGTCTTCTTCAAGCATCTTGCAACAAATTTCCACTTTACTAACTTCTTTTAGTGCCCTTGGTGTGGCTAAAATACATCAGGCAACACACGGCGGTCCTTTTGTCCCCCGCTGTAACTCGACATTTTTCATTGTGTCTGGGTGTCTCCTCAGTTCTGACAATAAACAAGCAGACATCTAAATTATTTTGTGTGATTGTTTTCTTGTCACCTAGACTGGTGCACACTTACTGTTTTATGTTTTTATATGAACTGTTCACCTGCTGTCTGAGAAGAAGTTTTTTGGATTTTTATGCATTTTTCCAAATATTTCAGCCATTTTAACCACTTTCTGGAATTTCTACACTTGCAAGGTTGGTCATCTGTGTTAACTAAACTAAAAATAAATCCATTCCCTACCTGATACTTTGAGTAGATGATTTCTTTCTGTTTCTTATATTGATACTTTGTTTATTTGCATAATTTGTGTGAGTTTTAATGAGGTTTAAACCCTAAAATCGGAGGGGATAAAACACACCTGCAGCATGTTGGTGTTGTTCTGGTTCTCTTTGGGTCAGCGAGGTGCTGTTTTCCTCTTTTAACATGGCAGAACTCTTTCTCCGCCTCCATCCCCGCCTCTGCGCTCCACCACATCTCCAGCTTCCAGAACGCCAGTCGTTTTGCACCATCTGCATATCAGCTCTCGCCTCGGCCAAAGCGTTAATTTGAATTCCTGTTTGGGCTGATTAACAAATGACTGGTGAGCTCACAAAGTTATGAAGTTGTTTAATTCTCAATATGTTTTATTTTTTTTGCTTCATTCTAAAACACATTAAAGGGGGATGTTCTCGCGGAACGAGCACAGGACACAAACTTTGAGACTTTCTGTATCTCGTTCCCGTTTTGTTGGCTAAAGTTCAGCTGGGTGATTTGTACTCGTCTCCCATTTATCCTCTCAGTAAATCAGTGCCCCCCCCCCCCCCCCCACACACACACACACACATCCTGAAGTGAATAGCTAATCGCTCTGCTAATTGACTGACAGTTAGCAAGCGCATTGTTCTAATTCCAATCAGAAACCTTGGAACAGACGCAGTCACAGCTGATTCATCTCGGCCTCTTACTGCTAAATCCACAAACTGCAACTGGAGGATGTGCCAGCAAGATTTACTTCTCCTAGACGATCTAAATGACTTCGTGAAAGTCTGGCTCAATTTTCAGTAGTTAGTTTGAGCCTCTCAAGCACAGAGGAAAAAAGAAAAGAGCACTCACCTCCTTATTTTTGTGACTGTGATTGTATGAAGCTGACATGTTTTCCATCAGCGTTACAATATCCTGAAGCAACATGAAGAAAAAAAGTGAGAACAAAACCAATTAGCACTTAAATGAGACTGAATCAAATTCACAAACTTCTCTTAAAGATTATATAAAATGTTTGTTTTGAACCAGTTTACATGAAATAGTTGTGTTTTCTCCCCAGAAATCATCATCAAGCCATTGCTTCCCTCTGATCCGCCGTGTTCTCTGCTGTTCTTCTAACAAGAAGCGGGTGACTCCTGTGATCTTAAGCGCTGCATCGTGTAGGCTTTTCTAATTGGCCTAAAGGGAAAAGTAAAGTTGTGCAGAAAACTAAATGAAACTGAAGTGAGGAGTCTGAGAGAGATGGTGTGGGAAGGAGACCGGCTGTTCTGTTTTCTCCAGCAGTCCAAACTAGAGACATGTGGCTCCCCAGACAAGCTGTCCAGAGTGGGAGAGCTCGCTGGACTCATTACAGGCAGGGCCAAGACGGGATAGCTTGACAGAACACCATTGGATCATACAGAGAATTGGAATGGTCGGAGCAGAATTGTTTCGGTGTGTGTCTGCGTGCACGCCGGTGTTTGTTTGGAACGGCGCGTGCGGACAACTGTCCATCGCCTCTCTCCGTCTGTGCCACCCCTGGCTGCCCCTCCCCCGCCCCCCCAGTGGACACACTGAAGCGAGCACACACATACGCTCTATCTGGGCCTGGCCATAAGGATCTCTTAAATGTTTTCAGTTGTACTGGACAGCTGAGGGATGAAGTGGCCAGCCACAGGCTTCCATTGGTTGGACACATCGTCTCGAAACTGACTCATAGAAATGACTGGACTTGGACCAGCAAGCTGGTCGGCCTAGCCAGTTTATAATAGTTTTATCAGTTTAACTTTCTCCTCTTTATCCTCTTCCATCCTGACAGGCCTTCCATCACCCAGTTTCAACTCACAGATTACTTTTCAAGCTTCCAAAAAGGACTTTCATTATTTGTGTTGGAGTCCACAGCTGGAAAAGAACTTTCTAGTGTTGATATTCTGTGATGTTAGAGAAAAACTAACAAAAACAACCAACAAAGTATCCACATTTCGTAGTGTGAACTCACATTTTGCCTATATTTTGCACTCAACTGAACCAAAATCGTTTTTTTCAAAGGATTTTTCCGCAGAGCGTCTCTGCCCATAGCAGAGTACCATTTAGCCAAAACCAGTGAAATATTCTGTTTTTGTTTATTCACAATTAACCTTTCCTGTTGTTTCTTGCTTTTTTTCTAATATTTTTTCTGCCTCTTCCTTATGGCTCTCTCCACCCCTCCTGTTCAACCCCTCTCCCAACACTCTGTTTATAAGTAGCAAGTGATCCAAAGAATATGCTCTGTTTCTGAAAGAACAGGAGAAGGAAGCAGGAAAGCAGGAGTGAGTGGGCGGATTTGTGAAAAAGAGAAAAATAGACTGAGAGAAAGAGAAGGAGAGGTGTGATTATGTAGTCCTAGTGATGCTCTGGCACCCACTGGTGTTTTTAAAGTGTCTCTCTCTGCGTCCCTCTGTCCCGGCGCAGTGGTTCGTACCAGTCGCCACCTCACTGTCACCTACACACAGACACATGCGCACGTGCGTCTCCGCCACCACCAGAGCCCAGAGGTACCGGCGAGGCCCGCATGGTTCCTTCAGCGGAGCAGGTGTTTTTCTGCAACGTGTTAACGAGCACGGCCTGCTGTCATTTCTGCTTTAAATGGATCTCACAAATAGACCACGCACACATACACACACACACACTGAATATTCCGGTTTCCCAGTGAATTAGCAGAAACACGACGATCAGAGCTGATGCTGGAGGTACGTGTGAGTTAGTTATGAGTCGTGAGTGCACAAATGCATAATTCACAAGGTGTGTAAAAGTGTGACTCCTCATCGATAAAGAGTTGATTAATTAAAAGTGGTTTTACGTTACAGTTTTGTCCTTTGAGTTGTGTGTTTTTGTGGAGAATGACACACATGCGCTCGTGTGTTGGATTGTCTAAAGGAGCTGCGTTCCCACCGGCGCCGATAGCTCGATGGATCAAACTTTGCCACCAGCTGCACAGCAGCTGTTGATTTTCCTTATTGACGTGCAAGATGAATAATTCTTTATGTGTAATCTTGTTTTGAATCGTGTGACCTTTATTTTTTCATTCTGGTGACCAGTGGTTTGTGTGTATTTGTGTGTACAGTATGCCTGTGTGAGTATTTGGAAGAAGGGTCATCACCTCAACACCTGTCCATGTATCAGCCAGATGATGTTTCTGGCATGGACACTTTGAGTGTTGTGCTGGTAAACATGTTTTTTCATTTTTACATGATAATCCGATCTGATTCTGGCAGGCTCTGTGTGTGTGTGTGTGTGTGTGTGTGTGTGTGTGTGTGTGTGTGTGTGTGTGTGTGTGTGTGTGTGTGTGTGTGTGTGTGTGTGTGTGTGTGTGTGTGTGTGTGTGTGTGTGTGTGTGCAATAACCTAAAAAGAACAGATGACAGTTTAGCGTCTCTTTAACTGTCCAGGGAATAAAATCTGTATTTAACATCATCAATATCATTATTTTTATTGGTAATACTACTTTCTATACATTAATCTGGTTAATCCTGAGTAATCCTAACTCCGACTTTGGTTCATATATCAAATTTAACATATTTTATCTACATTTTTCCTTTCATGTCTTTTTCCAGGTGAATACATAAAGAACTGGCGACCTCGTTACTTCCTGCTGAAGACAGATGGCTCTTTCATCGGCTACAAAGAGAAACCTCAGGATGCAGACCTGCCCTACCCACTAAACAACTTCTCTGTAGCAAGTATGTCATCGTACCTGTCACACATGTTGCTTTGCTCTTGAACCATTTCATGTCAATATATTCAGAAAAAAAATATTAGAAACATTTTGTTTTTTTTCAGTTGTCTCTTTTAGTTTGGGACAGAAATTCTCATAATAAATAATAATAACAACAATATTGTCACACTAACAATAGAGAAAATGATGTTAACAATATATTACAGACATCCTATGTCAGAAGTAGCACTTTTTGTATGTTTTAATCAAATTTGACTAAATAGTGCTATATCAAGGGGCTGAACAGCCAGTTAATCACGTTCCCACTCAGAACTATAACTAAAGGTTGGGCATTCCTTGAAGAAATGTTAAACCCACCAGCTTTCATGTTGAGATATTCGTATGTTACAGCAGCAATCCAGGGTTTTCCCCTTTTCGGGAATTACATATGATTATTTTTTAATCTGTGAAAGTGATAGTATTAGTCTTAACATGCTATAATGAAAACAATATGTCCATTTTCGTTTGCTAATCCTGCCCCCTGTTCTGTAGAGCCCCATGCAATTTGAACTCAGCACCACTCTGCATTAACCAATAGCGTTAGACATCCGCTTACGTACAAGTGTAAGTCACAGAGCGCACACACATACCAAGACTGATGCTGAGTTGGTGACATGTCTTATGGACAAGTAAGCACCAGTCACCTTTTTCTTGGTCTGAACGTCTTTTGTTCTTCGTGACTTCAAATGGTGTTTTTCATTTTGGGACTCTGGTAGTTTGTCCTAAAGTTGAAGTGGTAGCAGCTGGCTGTTTCTCCTTCTCTGATGATACTGAGTGGTGAACCTCTCACACCAGTTGTGTTCTGTTGCAAAATGCACAAGCGGGTAATGAATGGAGGACCCAGGGAAGAGCACAAATGGGGTGATTTCACGAGATAGAAAACCCAATGGTCCAATCTTCGGTTTCGGACAGAGCTGTGTTATTGGCTGAGGTTTTTAGACAAATGCGATATAAACACTTTTATTTTCTCTTTTAAAATCTCCACAATGTATTTTTCACAAAGGTGGAACACTGTTAAGAAGCATGAAAAAATGTTTTAAGCTAGCTTGTGTTGCACATTTGCAATTTTAGCTTTAAGCAATCTCCCAATGTTATTGCATGATGTGTTAGCGTTCACACATAGGGGGCCTAAGTCATGCCCATCTACTTCTGGACCATGGGTAGCTGTTTTCTAATTCCGTTTGTTATGTGCCGTGGATTTCACATATGATGTCCGAGAAATGTAAAGACTCGTTTTGATGTCTCGAAAGTGCTTTTTTTCAAACAGGGAAAAAGTTATTTTAGGTTCTGTGTGAAAATACGTCCAGGACTACAAATGCGCATCACCAAATTGACGTCATCAAACTAGACACAAAGAAAATCAGAGGAAAATGGCTGTAAGTTTAGCAAACTTTGAATTCTTCCCTCAGGAGGAAAGAACCACCATAAATCTGGCTATTTGGTCAGTAGCAGCTACACTAGAGGAGAGGAGATTCTGTGATTACGTCATAAATGCGACGTGCCGACGTCTGATTTGTAGTCATAGTAATTATAAACATTTACAAGCTGATAAATCTCAAATTACATGACAGGCATGGTCAAAACACCCATCATTACCGTTCATTTTTAATTGAAGTACAACATATGTGTGATTCAGGGTGTAAAGCAAAGCGGATTAGAAAATAGCTCATAGCCTTGTTCGCTTGCATTCATTTATTCATTCTTCCAGGGACCCATGAGCCGACCAAAAGGTCTTGGGTCTTAGGCGGGCTCCCTATGACTCTACTACAACCACAAAAACCTTTCGCCCTATGAGGAAAAACAGGGAAGCTGGAGCCCTCAGATGAGTCAAGTTTTTGCCTGCAAAATCGAAAACTACACACTAACATTTCGACACAACATGTGTCTTCATCAGAGTTGGTGTCCTCCAGCTGTGTACGCACTGGTGCAGTAGATGGCGTGCAGAGCACCGTCAATTTTCATGTGTCTCAAAGTTGATTAGCTTTGGCTAAAATCAGCCTGTTTCTGCATCAGAAGGACATCGTTTTACTAAAATATCAAATGAATGTCAGATCTGTCACCCCTCATAGTTTCTCTTCTCAGAGCAGCAGTGAAACAGCTACTGAAGTCATTATTGGTCTGTCATCAGTCTTCACAGCGTTGGCGTGCTTTACAGACTTCACTATGGGCTCTAATTAACCGTTTATCACTATATCATCTGTCAACACCTGGTTAACAAGCTCCACGATGTTGCTGACGTGTTCAATTAACCAGTTATTGAGTAATGAAGATTGGGTCTAATGTATCACCTCCTAGTGTTCACGCAGCAGTAGTAAATTATAGCTATACAACTGCTTTCTAAGTAAATAAAGGGTAATGACTCTAAAACTATGTTTTGAGTATTTGATATATGGGGGAAATTATTAAAAAAATGTTCTGCACTATTTTGGTTCAATTTGCCTCCATATTTGAATAAAACATTTGTTCTTCTATTAGAGGCAAATGCCTATGTTTCATGTTTTTATCTCTTTTGACTTTGCTGTCAAAATACAAAGTGCTTAGTATAAATATGTCATATCACACCATCAGTCTACTAATATGTGAACAAATACTTGTTGTTTAGCTGTTTAATCCCTTTTCTGACCGTAATCTGATGGCACTAAGCTGATGCAGATGTCAGTGTACACTTACATATAATCAGTTATCACCGTAATACAGATTAAGACCGTAGATCTGAAACACCAACATGGTTTTCAAAGTAATCAAAATGAATATAAATAGGCTTAGTTGGTTGAAATCTCATAGATTTGGAAAAGAGGTGTGTGAAATACCTGGTTTTTGGAAAGAGGAGAGGAATGATGAGGGAAGTAAGCATGGAGATGAGAGTAGAGGAGAGGAGGGGAGAAATAGGAAGATGATAACTGGAAGGATGTGGATGAGGTGTGCTGGTGAGGAAGCTTTGAGCAGACAAAGAGGAGGAGGTGAAGACCGGATTGGAGGAGGAGGAGAAGAGGAAAAGAGTTTGCGAGAAGGACAAGCCAGGCCATACATCCGGCCCCGGCTGCTTGGCACGCCACCGCCACTGCCACATCTGTTGCTCAAAGCTGGGAGGCCAGGTGGTGTGTGTGTGTGTGTGTGTGTGTTTGTGTGTGTGTGTGTGTGTGTGTGTGTGTGTGTGTGTGTGTGTGTGTGTGTGTGTGTGTGTGTGTGTGTGTGTGTGTGTGAACAACAGAAGTGGTCAGATGGAACCGAGATGGTACAGGCCTGTTCCCTGCAGAGGGACTCATACATACAGGCTTGACACACACACACACACACACACACACACACACACACACACACACACACACACACACACACTCGTGCACCTACTAAACTGCACCACAGATCTCACAATCGCCTGCTGTGGCAAACAACCCAATTTCAGCTATCATTCAAAGTTCACTTTTGTGCGCACGCGTGTGTGTTTCTATGTGTGTGTGTGTGTGTCCGTGTGTGTATGTGTGTGTGTGTGTCCATGTGAGAATGTGGGCACTGTTTGGCATCAACAATAGTATGACCTTGTTTTCTGGCAGCACAGCAGGTCCTGTTCATGAGTCAGGTAGTAACTGCATGTGTGTGTTTACATTGAAGCTCTGCCGCGTGTACGGCCCGGGCAGTTTAGCCATTAACCTTCCCGTCCATATTTAGGCTGAGCAATGGCATGCTGTGCCATGCCACGCTTAAACAGAAAGCTAGAGGAGGGGATGGATGGAGGGAGTGATGGAGATGCATCAGGAAATAGATGCAGCCCAAGCCGGGTAGATGTGAGGACAAGATGGGTCAGAACCCTGATTTACATTGATTCTTGTCCTCTGTAACCACAGAGACCGCTGAGGGACAATGAAGACACATTCTTTCCCAGAGTGAGCTCACAGCCCCATCTGGCTGTGTATGCTCTCATTCCTGAGTTTGTGTACTGTATTATGCGTTTGTGTGATGATGGCCTACTGTGTTGCCTGTTTTTATACAAACGCGTCTCGTCGGATCATCGCCAGATGCATGTGCGATGCAACATGAAATATCCCTTGGCACAAGAAAGCAGCTTTTTTAAAAGTTAGCTCTTATTAAAGTCACTGCCTATTTTTACACCAGTCAATGAAAATTTGAACTCTGGTTTATTCATGAACGTGTTGACGACATCTTGTTTCAGTCTGAAAGCTTTCAAAAATGACTTCTAACAATAGAAGGGACACCAAGTTTTAACACCAGGCTGATTCTTAACCGTTAAATGTAAGGATTACAATACAAGAATAATATAATATTTTGAAAAGTTGCATTTCAGAAAATTCAAACTAATTTGTAATAATCGAAGCTAATATCTAAAGTATAATATATAAACAGTTATGGGGTTGTTGTAAAGTATTGTAAAGGTCAAAAGCAATATTTAAGCTGCTGCCAGTGGTTCTTCAAGGCCACCTTGGTAACCATCAGTGGTTCTTAAAGCCTAATGCATACTGGGAGCAGTCGCGGAATAGCACTGCTTCAAGTAGAATCTATTATAGTCTATGGGGTGATTCAAACCGGCTGCGTCCCAGAAGCGGCATGCCACACCGCACCACTAAATTTAGGATCGGGATCTATTTTTGCTGCGAGACGCTTCTAGGACATGATAATTTCTGCCGTTCGCATAGAGCGAGACAGGAAATCACACATGGTTTCAGTGTGAAACCCTTAGTAATTTTCAAAATAAAAGTCTGTTGCAGCAATGCAATTTCATGTCTATGTAGATTACATCAATACAAGGGACCTAACGGGTTATTTACTCCCAGTATCATTCCAGAAGTGTGTTTTCATGGCTTTAGTCCTGGCAGTGGGGGAGGAACAACATCATATTTGACATCAAACAGCGATATAAAGCGTGATTTTCTTCTTTTTGGTTTAATGGCCTCTTCCTGGGCTGCCACCTTATTGTGGTGGAGGGGTTTGAGTGTCTCAATGATCCTA